TCTAGGAGCGTCGAAAACTGCGTTATGAGCAATTAATAATATTGGTTTTTTTGCAAACGATAAAAATTCTTTAAATGACATGAGTGCATCTTTCACATCATAAGAAATTAATTTTTCTTTATTAAAATACAGGCTTCCTGCTTCGTAGTGCAGATTGTTTACCTTCGTTGCTGAGTGAGAAATTCTGTTGGTTGGTGTCATGTATACGCTAAAACTATGATCATTATATTTAGCTCCAATTTGTAAAATTTCATCTTGCATATTAAATCCTGCTGTTTCCAAATCAAAATATACCAAGTCATAATCAAAATTATTCGATTCTATTTCTCTATTTATATCAAAATTAGATTCGTACGTTTTCCCTTCAGCTTTTTCATTTTTTTTCCGTAATTGTTCTCTTTCTCGAATTAGCTCATGTCTTCTATTTTTTTTTGTTTTCTCGCATGCTCTTAAAGACCGTTTTTTTTTTTTAATATCACACTGTGAGGCATGAGCTTCTGTATATTTACCAGACAATATATTTAATTTATTTTGTACAGATATTAGGCTTCTTTCCCCGTCGTTTTTACTACAGACTGCACTTGCTACTCGATAATCGGCAGCTGCACTTCTACTATAACAAATGTTTTTAGGAGCCTTGTGGGCGATAATGTTATTAACACTTTCGTTAGATTGGCTTGATGCTGAAACACAAAATTTAAACGCATTCTTTGCATATTTATTCATCATCAATTGCAATTTCTCAAACAGTTCATTATTTTGTAATGTCACGGTCTGATGCAGACTATCGTTTCGTCGTTTGCACCAACTTTGACAGTTTTCGTGCCTTCCATACAGATGGTCAGGAATACAACGAAGTACAGAGGCAAGTTCGTCAGAGTTACCTTTGTTTTGAGCTATACTATAGGAAAAACATTTTTTAATATGTTTTATAACACCATTTTTTTTCAATTCTTTAAAATTGTTTGCCAACACGTATAACTCTTTTCCAAAGTTTTTAACTAGATGATTTTTATCTGACAACTTATGTACAGTCTTTACATTGTTTTTTCTTATAGCAGCAATTGTGCTGCTATCGTCATCGCCAACAACAACACGAACATTTACTTTTGTTGCCTCTAAAATTGGATTTTTATTTACAAGCTGCATCCCAGCATCTGCTTCCATAGATTTGGCGCTTCCAGAGTAGTTTTTGCGACAGTCGTGTTTCTCTCGATCATGACCTAGTTCACATTTGATGCATTTTCGATTTCTTGTTGTGTAACTAATAACTTTACCACTCAAAAATCCAATGATAGTGGCATACCCATTAAGGCTATCATAATTTCGACCTGTTCCTCTTTTGCTCCATCCCATGTCGTAGGAAACAATAATATTAACAACTTCTCCCAACGTTGAATCAAATGTGTATCCAGGAGTCATTTCATGCGAGGATGATTGAAGTAAGTTTATGTTGGGATACAGATCTTGGGCAATGGAAGGAGGTCTACGGATAATAAAGTAATACTGTATGATTTAATATTTATTAAAATAAAAGTATATATATATGTGTGTATACAAAAGCAATTCAAACATACGTAGTATAATAATAAGTAAATTACAAGGTAAGAAAAAAATTCTTTTAAAAAATGCAATAATACTAAATGTATGATCAAAACCAAAATAAAATGAAATTTTAGATTAATTAAGTACTGTATAATAAAAAATTTAAAAAATCAATTGCTTCACGATTAGAATTTATGTAACAAAGTAAATTCATCAACTGTTTATATGCACATGTATTAATGCATTTCATAATTTGACCTATAAGTTGATCAAATTAGTAAAAATCAATGAAAATAATTATAGTAACTTAGGGAACCTTACAGGAGAGCAGTAATTTTTTCAATGTTTTCTATTACTAATTGTCTTTCTTCGTACGCAGCTTGCTTGCAACTTTCTTTAGCTGCCTGCTCTATAGATTCTCCAACTTCTTGCTCGTAAGCTTTATACATCTTAGACGTCATCCCTGGCATATTTAAGCAAGCAAAAATTTTTTGCAAGGCAGTGTGACCAGTGCCAGAGTGGACAGCACCTAAAAAAAAATAATCATCTCTTAAAATGAATAGAGAATATTTCAGTCAATTGTCAGTTACGAGTCAATGACTTTGTTATTTTATTAATATTATATTCATTTTATACTACTTACCAAGTACAACTGCTGTGTTGATGTCACTACAAGGTTTGTCTTTGTACTCGTGTGTTTTGCTTGTCTTAACTTTATTCATTAGTTTACAATGATCACACACAATTTTGAAAGTACTAGATAAGCCACAGTGTATTTCTTTTACTGCTTTTTCTAAATCCAACAAATTATTGCAATGATAACATTTCAAGTTTTTGGCAAATTCCTTAATGTCGATTACTCGGCAACCTTCTAAAATACTTTTTGCAATGCTTAAATTTGCATCATTCAGCTTTTCACTTAACTTCTTTTTCACTCGAAGATTTGCGAACCTTTTTTTTTTACCTTCGACAGCATTCTTTTTCGCGAATCTCCCGTTGACAATAAACTGCTCACACCGAGGCTTCGGCATTTTTCGCGTGTTTACAAAAACATAACCTTGTAGACGTCTACTTTAGGATAGTAGTATTACTCAATATACGGGCATACTTACAATGTTGCCAAACCATTCCAGTACTTCTTATGAGACTATGTTAGTGTACACATGCACACATCTTAACCTGTGTGATAGACAGTAGTGCTCAAAGTTTAGATCTTCGGTTATGAATGTTCTCATACGGGGAGCCACATGAAAATAATGAGAGACACTTGTGTGGATGAACTACCTTAAAATCAAGAGAATAATATAGGGTCGTCGGTCACCGGGATTCCCAGTCTTGCGACAAACAACTCTGCTCGTGACGTCTGCCAGTGAATGACTGACTTAGTTTAATAGTGGCCAGCTTTACATAGTCTTTTAGTTGACGAATCGTCTCCAGAAATCGTAGTAAAAATGTTTTTATTGACAAAGTAATTTAAACTTATGCGGCCCTTAAAAGTACCGATGAGATTGATTGTTAAGTAGAGAACGTAAATACTTATAATGGCCCCGAAAAGGGCCAGTGGTGAAACTTTCAGCTATTCCTTATAATTATTCTTGATGATGGAGAGCCAGCTGCAGGTAGCTTGACTCTTATCCTTTGAGTCTCTGTGTATGGAGACCCTACAGGAGGAAGGTACGCTGCTGACCAAAGAATAACTCGTCTTCAGGTCATTTCCCGGATAACCAACCGTAAATCATTAGTCAGGAAAGTGGGCCTGGAGAATACCTTTTCTGCAGGTATGCCGTTGGGATGACCACTAAGGAGAAGGCCGTTGTGGCTGCCCGTACCAGGTAAAAGTACGGCGTTAAAAATCTTATTACCCTACCCAGTTGTATAGCTATAATTACACCTACGGATGATAACTTTAATAATCTACATCTTGAGCTATAATCAACTCCAATATAGCAATAAATTATTATGAATACTGGCTGTAAGATGTAAGACCTTAAAGCTCTAAATTTGGCGCGAATTTTAATGGAAAATTGTTTTTAAACTTGATTTTTTTTTTATATAACACACTAGTATTGTTATCATGCAAATGATAACAGTAAAACTAAGGGCTTTAAGTACTTTGAAACCAAAAAAAAAAAATAAAAAATTGTTTGTTAATATTACCTTTTTTTAAATATTGTTCAAAAATTTTGTGGGCTGATATAAATTAAAAATATTAGAATTAGAAACATTTTTTTTTTTTTATTCATGCTAAACTTATCTCTATAAACACCTAAATTTAACAGCTGTTATTCACGATGATTCATAGCTATTTTGTAATTGATCATAGTTATAATTATAGCTATTATTCATAGGTGTTAACTTTACAATTTTTTACTGAGTAGAAAGTTGTCTTGAAAATATTCTTCTTTATGATTTTTTACATAATATATATTAAAATACTAATTAAAACCATACCTTAATACTGTATATCCTAAATAATTAGGTATATTAACTTTCTATAGTATCTGCCAGAGAAGTATAACTTCATACGTGGGTACCGCAGTACTAACTAACCACTGGTTTCATTTTTTCTTCATACTTTACAACCATTTTGACAGATTCTGCGAATAACGGCTTTACTTTGTTGTATTACTCTGCATATATATGATTTCGTCTTTATCATATTAAAAAATCGCCTCTGATTTATTGTGAATCAATAACTTCACAACAATCGAGACTTCTAATGTGACGTGGCTTTCAAACCATCGGACCATAGTTGGAAATACTCACAGAAGAAACTTATTTCAGAGGTGAGAGTCAAAAGAGTAAAAGCTGGATCTCGAACTCGTGAACATGTGTTACCAAGCCCAAAGGCTAAAAAAACCGCAGCCTAAACTAATGTAGTATTGGCTATACGACTATGATTTTTCTTTTTCTTTTTTTTTTTTTTTTTTTTTATCATTATCACAGTACTATACGTCCAGCGCTACTTACGAAATGGAGCACTACTTACGAAATGGGTCACTACACAGATTGATCATCCTCGAACGAGGAATAAAGTATGATTTATTTAAGAAAGATAGATATTTCAATTATAAGTAACAAGTAATTTTGAGTTTTGTTTGGCCTTGAAATCTATAAATCTCTGGAATATTCTTATGCTGTAAAAATGTACATCTATTTGGTGAATTTGGTCTGAGCCAAAACAGAGTTTGCGCTCTCTCTAGCCAAAGTCAGGCAAAAATTCTTGCATGTAAGCCAACGGCTTACAGCTTATGCATGCGTATAACTACTTGAGATTGGCTAAAGGAGACAGCAGGAGGGGATCATGTATATAAGCTCTAAGCCGTTTGTAGTTTGCATGCAAGAATTTTTGCCTCATTTCATAAAGATGACACGTACTTTTCCATAACAGAAAAGTACCTTAGGTCGTTAAGCAAATAAAAACTATTAGCATGTTTAGTTTCCAAATACTTTACCTTCTTTAAAAAAGTTTTGATTGCTATAGTTTCCACGTAAAAGATTGATCATTAGTAATAAACAATCTTCTACTACCACGCCTCCTTCAATATTACCTTCTTGTAAAATAACATCAAATATTCTGTCAAATGCATTCTCAAATGCAACAATCTTTTGAATATTGGTGTTTCCTTTTGTTAAATGTATCAATAATAAAAGAGCCTAGAAAATTATAATTTAATGTATCATTATCATTGAAAACTTTTTATCTACCCAATTAGGGTCTGTCTCGACGACACCTTAGCGTACGCGAACAGTACGCCTCGCGTACGTGAAGAAAACTTATTCACGTACGCTATGACGAAAAATTTTTTTCAACGCAAACGAAGAATTCTCTTAGACGTTCGCGAACGCTACACTAAACTTACAAGCACAACGTAGCACTCGCGAAGAATACTTTTTCGCGTACGCTAGGTTAGGATTTCTTTCGTGAGCACTGAGTGTTATAATTTTTTTGGCGTACGCTATAGGTTGTTTACTGTCACCTATACATAACGTATACGCTGCACAAGTAAATCTTATTCCGGAGTCCGCTAAGTGCTGCATGCTCGCGTACGCTGAAACTCAATTTTCGCGTGTGTGCTATAAAAATATTTGGCAATTTACTTTTCGCTCTCATTGTCAGTACAAAATGTGTATGTATTCTTTATATTGTTGTTAAAAAAAGGACTTGTCTTACATGCATGCAAAACCATGCAAAACCATGCATGCATATATACACACATATGTACTAAATAAAAAATGCATGGGGTAAGTGGTAGTGTAGTATAGTAGTTGCCAATCTGAGTTTACTTGAAAAGAGATTTTGTAAAATCAAAAAAAAAAATTGGTGAATAGTAGGTGATGATGAATACTTTTATTTTTCATTTTCTTTAGTATTTTTTAAATATTATCAGACACGTTATTGTGGATACAAAGCTGCAAATAAATTGCTAACTATTTTATTACATTTGTAAATAAAAAGGAATTACACAAAAAACTATTTTAAAGCCGTAATAAAAAACTATTTAAAAAAAATTGCAATACAAGTTACAGTTAAAAAAAAGACTTATAAACTCGTTTTCCTTCGATTTTTTTATTAGAAACTGAAATGTAACTTTTAAACACATCCTTTGGTCTACCAGGAATTTTTACTTCTAGGGGCAACCTTAGCTCTTCAGAAGTATAAGATGTAGTAGCAATGTCATCGCATTTCGTTGGTTGTTTGCATAATATTGTATCGGATAACTATATTCACTTCTTCATTTGCACTCGATGAATTTTTAATTGTTATCAACTGACTCAATCTATTTTTAAATGTATATCCAGCTAACAAACTTTTGAACGAAACTATATCATTAGTTACTTCATTAAGTAACTTTCTTCTTTGAGAAAAAGATTTTCGGAAAGGAGTTACTTTTTTTTTCTCGGAACACCGGTGTCTTTGATTAAAGTAATTTATCTATAGCTAACGAATGCATGGTTTTACTCATATTGGTTATTGATCGTAACGTTGGTTGGTTTTTTAAATTATAGCGTTTTATCCATTTTTCATTACATAAATTTTTCTCAAACAGCGGTGCATTAAAATATTTTCTAACAGCGAAAATGTGTCTACACGGTAGTAAATACGAAGAAAAATCAATGCAGTCGCATCGTGTTGTGTTGTTCTACTTACGTAAGTGTAACCACACCTGATCCAACAAAATTTTAATGATTTTATAATAGTATCGAAAGACATAGGATTGTTTCTTTTGTAATGACTCAAAACCTTATCAAAAGCATTAAGAGTTAACAGTTGTTTATAGAGGTATTCCACGCTACCTGGTGAAAATGAAACGGTTGGATGTTTGTGAATATTTTCCAAAAGTTGATGTTTGATGATTCCATTGCGTCGCTTGAAAAAACAAAAAAATGCTTAATGAAATCTTCCATGGTACTTCTTAGAGGATATTCTTTTTTCAATGCAGCATTTGTTGATTTAACTAAATTATTGGTATAGTTTCCAAAATTAATAATACTTATGCTAATCTAATCCATTCTTTGTTGTTGTTGTGCCAATTTAAATAAAAATAATTTACAATGTTTGTAAGAGATGATTTACAAAAACGGAGGTAAAAGTTTTCATATTCTTCTTCTGATGAACTTTTAATTAATTTTTGTAAGTATGATAATGCTATATCTCTTTTATTGTCGAACAGCGCATGAAAGCAGTAATAATAGTTCTAGAAAATATTTTTAAAACGTGAAATTTACACAACAATAAGCTAACGGATAGGAAAACTTTTTTTATTGACCACCTTTCAGTAAAATTCTTATCCGTCATAAATATTTTAATTTTTTCAAAAGAAGATTTATTGTCATTTTTGAATTCTTGCAAAAAACCCTTCAAAGTATCAGGTTGTTCATTTACAACAAGACCAACTGCAACTATATGACTTAATCGGTTACTGTCTTGAACAACTAAGAATGACACCATCATTCAATTTTTAGGAGATTATAAGTTGTATCCATAAAAATAACTTCAGGACAAGCTTCCAAGGATTTCCGCATTTCGAATGTTAAAAAGTACATAGCTGTAAAAACTTTGTCATTTCCAGAATCATCATTCTTGACTTGCTCATATATAATCGACACGTTTATTCCTTAAAAAAATTTTCATTAAATATTATTATGTATTATTTAGAACTAATCACAGCACATATTAGATTTCATTTTATATTTACGTCTAAAAACGGTGTGTGTGTGTGTGTGTGTGTGTGTGTGTGTGTGTGTGTGTGTAGTAATTAAATAATTAAATTACTCAAGTCAATGACATTTTTTGACTAGCAGTAAGTACTTAATGTTGTATTTACCCTGTGTAACCTTGAATTGAACACACGGAGTGGTTTTTTTTGTAGCAAAAAAATAGAACGTCAACATCAAAACTACATACAAGGCATTACTTACGAGTTTATCGCCACATAGCAGAAAGTGTAATTTCATAATACATACAATATTTAGTGAAATTTTTTGATTAGGTAATTTATATGAATTCAAACACAATTTGAATTTCTTCCGGGGGTTTTTCAGGAAACTGCATATATTATATACAATTTCACGTGCTTATAAATAAGCAGACGGCCTTATGTCATCTGCTTCATGAGAGAGAGTATGAAGTGCTCTTTTAAACTTATACATTTCTGACTATGGATGAAAGATTAATCAGGCAGGCACTAATGTGGATTTTTTTGGATTATCTGAGTTGAGAGTACTTGGAGGTCTTGGAGCACTCGGAAGTCTCGGACCGTGTGTTCGAGGCAGATTGCTTAAAGTACAGAGCATTCTGAGTGCTCGGAGTACTCTAAACAGTCTGAACCTTTTATTCGAATAACTATAGCGTAACTGTCAGTGTTAATAAACTTGCTGTTGTAACGACGGTAAACTAAAATTGCTAATCATTATTTTTCCCGCTCGTTCTTCGAAATTTTCCATGACGACTTAAAAGTATTTTCGAACAGAGACCAACGTGCATTTGAAAAGAGATGAATCACCTGCAAACTCTATTCGTAGTTGCAGCATATTGACCAACTATGATTCATGCAAACGCACGTTGGCCTATGTTGACCGGAAACGTAAAGCAAATAAGATAATAAAATACTATTTAATACAGAGAAATGAAATAACTTTAAAAACTAACAGAGGCAAAAAATCCAACTAGAAACAGCTGAACTGGGGTGCAATACCAAATGCTGGCACAACTTGAGACGATATTAAATTAGAATAACGTAGAGTTAATACGTATAGACAAATCATAATACATACTACACTCCTAGCAAAACAACATCAACTTTTCATTTGGTTTTTATAGATGCATAACTTGCCAATCTACCCTTTTTTCTATAACATTTACGAATTTTTTCATATACCATCGGCAATAGCCTAAATTTTTGAACTCGTTTAACATGTAAGAGAAAACGGGAAAACCAAGCTGATCATTAACAATAGCTCTTTCCCTTTTCCTTGACTGATATGTGTCAGGAGAGAGTCCGTGCGGCTGCTCCAATGTAAGTAACGGAATTTCAAATCCCCAGAGCACCACGCGCCAACTCCCTCTCCAATGACTAGAAACATATTAACTAAAATTCTACCGACATTCCAAATTATCTTTGCAACATTGTTATCAGTCAAAACTACCCGTAAGTTTACTTATACTAACTTGCGAAAGGCAAGGTACTTCTACTGTTACCACTACCCTTACTTTCTTAATTATAACTACTATTACTATAGTTACTATTATTATCATTATTGTTATTATCATACTATTACACTAACGTTATAATTATAAGTTGTTATAACAAGGGCCAACGTTATTTCTGTTCAAGTATTAGTTGATGTACCGTAGCACATCAATCGTTTATTCACCCAAGCATTAATTGAAATATTAAGTGATTCTCTCTGCCCTTTCTGCAATAAGTTTAGTTGAATAAACGAGCAGTGTCCAACATTAGTAAATATTAACGATATTCTATCTTAACATTAATATCAAGTCAAATTAAAGTTTTGTAAAATTTGGTAGTAAAAGAGAAAGGAAGGATGCCAATTTTTGAGTGGCTGAACTAGAGCATCTCTAGCCAATTAGATCTTTGGTTATTATCTTTCCCCTTCAAGATTTTTCCGGCAAATTTTCCTGCGTCGTCTCGAACCAGCGCGTCGCAGAGATCCACTACTCCTTTTAAAAAGGCCCGGAGGCCCCGAGAGAAAGCACTCAATGATAGCTCTTCAAGGTAGACTGAGTAGTAAGAGTCCGACTCTGCTACAACCCAGTCCACCGCGGAGCGAGGCAGAGTTAATTTTTCACCCTCGAGCGGTCGACTGGGTAGTTAGAGTCCGGCTCTGCTACTATACGATCCTCCACGAGTAGGGTTTTAACCTTCTACATCAATCACCTCACGCTGGTTCCTCGCGCGTAAAATTCTTTTAAAAGTAAAAGTAAAGTTTTAAAAATTAAAATTAAGTTAAACAAAAGTAACGAAGTGGTTAACTTTGTCTTTTCTTTTCTCTTCTTTACGTCACGAACGTGCTCCTAGAGTTAACATCATTTACTTAATACGGTATTTGATAAACTTTAGGAAAAGTAAATAAATAGTCAAGTTGTGTTTCACGTAAACTCTAGAGCAATCACCTCTACTCGGGATGGTATT